ATCATAGCGGTGCCAACACTTCCTGACCGCATGGCCAGGCTTCCCACATAACTGACACGTGATTGAGGCTCCAAGTCCACCACCTCTACCATGCTCGTCTTCCTGGTAGGAAGACTGCCAGCCTCCTTTACCGCCATGGTAAGGCCCCCTTTGCCATGATATGGCCCACGGCCACGACCTCGGCAATTGCCTGTCTCGAGTTGGTAGATAATGCATTGTGAATGTCCACGAATGAGGTCGAACCAAAGTTACCAAGATGTGGTTTCTTCTCAAAGGTGAGGTTTAGTTCTTCAGGGAGCAACCACGCAGAAACTTAGTTAAAAGTAACGGTTGCAATATTGGTCCGAATGTTCTGTTTAAGCGATGCATAGTCGGTTGGGAGATCACAAAGCACACACAAGATGATATCTTGTTTAGAGATGTCCTCATGAGCCAATTTCAGAAATGAGACAATGGTAAGAACAGTGTGTAGATATGTTTGCATTGAATTAGTACTCTTTTGAATGCCATGCAAGCGCTCCTTCAATGGGAAAATATGAGTATGTGAAAGAGAATTGTATCGTTGTTCCAAATGATTCCAGATTGTAGTAGAGGTTGGAAGAGCATGAATATGAGTCTGAATAGTTAGAGAGACAATAACAAGAAAACAGGCCCGAATTTGAGCCTCAACAAGCACCCATGGGTCATAGGTTGGATTGGATTTCATAACCAGGGGTTCATCTTTTCCAGGAGATGCTGCTTCCTCGTCCAAAACAAGAGGTGAGGGAGGCACTTCAGAACCATCAATGTACCTGGGGAAACGATGAGCGATGAGGTTGGCGCGAACAGTGGCTGACCAGGAAGGATAATTAGTGTCATCAAGTTTGACCAGAGTTAGATATTAAAGATTCTGGACAAACAATTTGAGGAATGTAGGAAGACGATCCATGGGATCGAAAGATAGTGGAGCCATGGCCGATTGGTAGCAGAGACCAGATCGGTGGCGTGAAGAGAAGAAGGAGAAGACAATCGGCTGGGCCAATTTTTTCTCACGGTGCAATCGCAGAAGAGGAAGAGGAAGGCACAGATCTCCGTGCTCCGATACCATATTGAATTAGATTCTCAAGTCAAGAAATAATTGTGTACAAGGTGGTTTATATAGATAGAGATCCTTACATCAATTAGTTGTCTAGCACTTTGTAAAGAAATAAATAACTTTTTTATCCTAAATTGTCATATCTTGAAAGTTCTTTTTCAAACTAAACCATAATGATTTATGTGTGGTGTGTCATGTTAAGATTGCGACATATTTAAGATAAATAATGTGTCATTGTAGCAATAATATATCAATGTAGATGATTCTTAAGAAGGGTTTTACCTAATTAAACATCTAAATTAGAAAAAATTAAACAAACATATGTTTATAAAAAAGGTACACGAAGAAACTAGAAAGAGTTAGAAGAAACAATTATTTCATATAAACATTAAACTAAAAAACTAGAAAGAGTAAAGTAAATTAAATTGAAAGACACTAGAAAGAGTTAGAAGAAACTAAAAAAAGAAATACAACTTATGAAGCTAGAAAATATTGGAATTAAGGATGCATTTGTTGAAAAAATATGTCTAGAAACATATGTTAAAGAAAAATATGTTTCTAGACAATTATTCAGTGAAAAACAATTTTCACGAAAATATTCTTCCTCACATTTTCTATTTTTTGACATGAAGTTTTTTTTAAAAAAACAATTTTCTATTATTTGTTAGAAAGAGATTTTTTTATATTAGTACATTGTTAGTTGGTATTTGAATAAAAAAAGATATCTTAAGATACTTTTAAAATATTTTAGGGAGCATAGTTTATTTTTTATACACGATCAACCAAATCCTCATTATAGAACTTCAATCTAAAAGGTTGGGGGGGTGTGGCCGGGGCAGGGTCTGGGGGTGGCCGAGGTGGGGGTCGGGGACTTGAGGCAGAGGATATGGTGTTGGCTATGTGTGTATCAATTGTCTCGTGGAAGATGGTATGTGGGCCAAGTCGCAATCGAAAGTCGTGGATGTTCCTGTGTGATGAATGCACTATAAGGCAGGGGTATGCGGTTCTTCTAACACCAATTGGTTTTAGAAGAGCTGGTAGCATTTGAGGTCCTACAAGTGGCATCAGAGCCAACGTCACGAGTTCGATTCCCAGCGAGAGCAATTGTTGAGGAGGAGATTGTTGGCTATGTGTGCGTCAATTGTCCCGTGGCAGAGGCTATGTCGGCCAATTCACAATTTAAAGTAGTGGACGCTTGTGTGTGATGAATGCACTATAAAGCTAGGATATGTGCTTCTTCTAATACCAATTGATTTTAGAAGAGTTGGTAGTGCACGAGGTCCCACATATGGGTGGCGAAAATGAACTTGAGGAACCAAAGTACTCAATGATTGACTATTGAGTCTCTGTTCTTTTGAGTTAGAATTTCAGAGTCAAATGTTGGAAGAAACTAGAAAGAGTTGGAAAAAACTGAAACGGCTTGGAAAGTGTTGGAAGAATTAAAGTGTTAAAAAGTCATTCAATTAAATGATCACCCAAATAAATATTTAGAAAACTCTAATTTTGGATATAAATAGAATTCATCCTTATTATGTTTGAAGTGATATGTTATAGATTTGATATATAATGGTATTCTATAATAATCAAATATAAATACCCAAAGAGTCGTTGGAAGAAACTAGAAGGAGTTCGAAGAAACTGGAAAGAGTTGCAAAAAACTGGAAGGAGTTGAAAGTTAATTTTTCCAACCCAAAAGAATAGGGTCTGAGTAAGTATACAGCCAAACATAAGAAAGTAAAATTAGAATTTTATGAAAAATATTTTTCTCTCAACTAAATAGATTCTAAAAGTTAGAATTAAAAAAAACAAGAACTTTAAGAATTGAAGAAAAGTTACGTAATCGAATAAAATTTTGTTTGGAGAGAAAGACTAAAGTAGGACTAAAACATTGAAAATATACTAAAATAAGACTTCCATGTTTTTATTTCGAAATAGGATTTAAGATGCATTTACATTACCAAACATGGTCATGTACATTACCAAAAAGTATAGTAATGTGCACATGCACAGTGCCACATTACAACCACATTACCACAGTGTGAAGTCTTATTTTGAAAAAAAACATGAAAGTTCTATTTTGATACTTTTTTCTATGTTTTAGTCCTATATATGGTGATTTCTGTTTTGTTAACCACATGCGACACACATGTTAAACAAACATTATTTTCTAATATAAAATTCATTTGTGAAATTTATTAAAAGAATAAACATGAATTTAAGATTAGGAAGATATAAAGTAAATGGCTAAAGATAGTATAGCTTTGGTAGCGGCGTAAATCAAGTATCCAAGATTATGGTCCCGGGAGAAATGAGGCATCCAAATAAACCTTTTGAAAATTATGCAGCCGTTCGACAAATTCTTCCGTGGATCAAGGTCTATGTTCATTACATGTGACTTTATATATTTGTAGTATATAAGAATTAAGTCTTTTCAAAAAAGAAAATATCCACGTACTAGCTAATGAAAAATATAATAAAATTTATATTTTAAATATGAACCTTGGGACCATCTAAGTACATAGTATTTGGACTATCATTATACCATTTGATTTGATTTGAAATCACTTGGTGGTTTACTTAATTCTTTTTAAAGGTTTTGATTAGTATATACCAAAGTTACCCTAATTATCTTTTGCATTTTACAAAAAAGATTTGTTTATAAAGCACAAAAATGAATTGGTGAAACTTTGGGACTTTTTTTGCTGTAAAAAAAATTTATCTTTTGAAAAAAAGAAATTTACATACGAGTTCAATGGTAGGATTGGTAGGTAAAAAGGTTTGAAGCACTTACAAAGTTATGCTCCGTAAATTACAAAAAGTTCAATAAAATTATGAAAGAGCAAAAATATTCAAAGCCGCGTGAACAAGATTAGTACCGCTGGACAAAGTGACAAATGCCGTAAGGGCTCCTCACTCAAGAAATTAGAGAATACTTTAGGGCTTGTTCTCTTCCTCTATCATCATTAAATCTGATTTAATTTAAATAAAGTTTGATGTAATATAAATATAGTTATATTTAAAATTGTTTTTAATTCGATGTGTCTGATCCGATCTTATTGTAGTTGTATTTAAAGTTGATTCTAATCTTTTCTAGTCTAATTTGACATTATTCTAAGAAGAATAAATAATGAATAATAATAATAAGGTGAAAAGAATGAATTCTACTTCATTCTAGTATGTTTTTCCCTTTTGATTTTTATAGTAGAATTATATGAACTTTGATAATCAATTAAATGAAAATTATATTTTCTCCGTCCCTTTTAATACTTCCCACTATAGCTTGACATGAGTTTTAAGAGCACTAGAAATACTCTTGAAACCTCAAGGCTTCAAACTGAGACATCAAAACTTTTCTCTCTATCACGTCAGTTTTGACTTACATCACAATTTTATTAGAAATGGGTTTAAAGCCCTAGGACTACAAATTCGAGCTTCAAACCTCTACCTTTTACATTTTCAATACGCATCTTCTAAAGCTCTCTACTAGTATCTCTCTCTTCTTGGGCTGCTCCCCCTCTTGTAAGTGGTGGTAAGCTCCTTTTATTATTCTATTTTTAAAATATTAATTCAAATTTTTTTAGTTGATATATATATATATATATATATATATATATATATATATATATATATATATATATATTTCCAATGGTTCTCTCTCGTTTGAAACTTGAAAGCTTTGAATGGAGTATACTCCGTATCATTTACTGCACTTAGCCATTTTTGACAGCCAAAAGTGAGCAAATATCACCATCTTGTTCCAACTTGTCTCAATTTCTATTCTTATTGTGGTCAATCCCCAGCTCATAACACTTGTTTGTGTACAAACTCCCCACCTAAAATAACATAATACAAATTTCAATTTGACTTGTCCTGTTGTACACAAATCTGCGTGTTCTTCTTCAGTCAATTCTACAAGTCACCACAGAAGAATACTAAAATTGCAGTAGTTTTAAAATTTTAAGTAGCTAATAGTGTCATCTGCTTAACAATGACATTGAAGACAGAAGAAAAAACCCATACATAAAAGTTATATGTACATAACAGTTAATTAAAAACACAAAGGGGAAGAAAACCCATATCAACAGACATCCAAACATTACATCCCATGCTTCTTCTTGACTACTACTACTTTTACTCTGCACTTTTGTATTCTTTGTTTGTTCCCTCAGTTTTCTTCTTTCTTTGATGGAAAGCTCTTTCCAGGCTTCAGATACACAATTCACTTTGGCTGTGAGGGGTTTCTTTTTCTTTTTTCTTTTTTTTTTGTTGTTGAAAAAACCCCACCAATCAAACCTGTGTCCAAGAGTGCCTGAATTGCCATCACAACCACCTCAATAAAATTCCTTCTCAGCTGCAATTATCAAAAGATGACATTAATGTTTGTACTATGATCATATATTATTCACTTTTGCAATATAAACAAACAAGAAGAAAAGGTTTCCATCAATCCCAAGGTAGGCCTGCCTTATTAGTCTGGTGACCAGCCAGCCCTCATACTTACTATTATTATATTTATAATAATAATAATAATAATAATAATAATAGAGCGATTGAATAATCTTTCTTTAAACTCAGATAATATTGATATAGTATTAGTCAAACTTCCTTTACCAATCTTCACCTATATCTGGAATATGTAGCCAAAACAATCATTCAACACTACTACTCTGCTTATCCCAAATTTAAGTTCACATCTGCTTTTTCCCAGAGTTTTAAGTTTAGACGAGAAAGAAATAATACAAACCACACATTTCTTTTCTTTCAAAGGAAATGAGAACTTAATTTTGGAACGACCAAGAAAAGAAAGTGAACTGAATGCAAGGACAGAGGGAGTATGTGTCCTCTTCTTGTTTGCCCATTCATGGATGCTCTTTAGTTATTCAAGAATCAGCAATTACTAGCACCATTGTGAACTCTTCTTGGGACATGTTAGATGAATTTACTCTGCTTGATCTTTGATTGGGAAAAGCCAGATATGTTTGGTTTGGTTATCTCAAAAATCTACTACTATTAATTTTGAGGAAAATTTTCTAGGGCCTAAGGGCTTGTTCTCTTCAACTTATCTGATCTGAATATAGTTATATTTAAAGTTGTTTCTAATTGATCTGATGTGATTTCAATAAGAATAAGTAGCAAGTAAACAGAATGAGTTGAAGAAGCTCTAAGAGTTCACTCTTATAACCCATTTCAAAGCTCACAACAAAGTACTTAACACTTTGGCAGGTTCTCCAAAAACAGCATCAAGAAAAAAAAGCAGAAAATGCCAAATTGTCTAGATTTCTGAACAGTAAAATTCACTCTTTTCTTAAAGTAGGATAAGCTGACCGAAATCTCTCATCCCATCAATATCAAAATCAATTAAAAGCGAATCAAACAATCCATTCCCACTACTGAGTTGCACTGGGTTAACTCTGTAAACCCAGGCTGACTCAGATAAGATAAACAAAACCCAGGTTGAATGGGGAAACTTGAACTCACCTGACTCCGGGGAAGGAAAAAAATCTAATCTTTGAAGATCACTGAATCCGCCATTTCCATCAAGGACTTGAGGCAATCCGAAGAGAATTTCCTGGCGAACATATACGAATAAGTGGAGTTCGATTTCCTGAGAGTGTATATAAGCTCCGGCGAGACCTCCTGAGGGTGGTAGGTGTGGGGATGCCCGTCCACTGAGTCGGTCCAATTCACCCGGGTTAATGTGTGGCCCGCCGACCCATTTGGATTCTGCATTGAGATTAGGGTTGGGAAGTAATGTTCCTCCGGGTAGCAGGATTCAATGTCTATGCAGGGTTTCCTGAATTTCCTCCAAAGCCGCCGATCTTTGATCACCAGCAAAGAGTCCCTGCGGGTGAGGACGAAGAATTGGGACCCGATCCGGAATTCCTGGAATCGGACCTCCGGCTCCATCACGTCTTCTCCCCTGGCAATGTACCTGCGCCACAGAAAGGGCGAATCGGACGAGATCTCTATGTAGCTAGGGTACTGCATTTGGTGGGAGAGCTTACGGGTATCAAGGAGAAAATTGTAAAAGTAACCGAAGGAGTGGAGGGGTATACAGTGCTGGGATATGAGCGCAAAGAACTCGTTCGCCGGGTCGTCCAACATTGCGGTGGCGATGAGGCGGCGCGCGGCGGAGACGAGAGTGGGAGAGGATCTCTGGGTCCGTTTAGCCGGGATGAACCGATCCTTGAAGACGCCCCCGGGAGGGGAAATGGGGACAGTCGGGTCGGCGTGGATGTAGATGTTGTAGAAATGCGGATCCACGGGTGGGGTTCCATTGAAGAAGAGCTCCCAAAGCGGGGCAAAGTAGAGGTCAGTGTTGGTGAGGAAGAGGAAGGCGATTTTGGGGCGGCGGGTGGCGGTGGATCCGAGCCGGAATTTGTTGGAAGGGCCGCCGCGAGAGGGGCGTTTGGGGAAAGTGGTCTGGGCGACGATGGCCTTCTCGAAGAGGGAGAGATCGTCGAGCTCGTCGGGGGCGGTGATGGAGAGACGGCGCGGAGGAAGAATTCTGGGAGCCAAGAGGAAAAGCAGAGGAACGGTGACAAGGAGGGTGACGACGGGGACGAGAATTGAGGATCTGTACATGATTGATTTATTTCTCAAGAAGAGATGAGAGCACAGAAAAACATTGAGCTCTGGGAAAATTTGGGAATTCCAAGAATCAGAAGCTGAATTTGGAGTTTTTAGGTGGTGAGCGGTGGCTTGGGCCGGGACGGTGGTGTCATTGATACTGGAGCGAGTGAGAGGGAAAAGTGTTTATTAATACTCCTTCCGTCCCTAAATATTTGCCACATTTATATTCTCGAGGAAAAATATTAAGTTTTTTCAATTTATTTTATTTACATATTAGTATAGAAATAAAAAATAAAACTTACATATCAAAAAACTACATGAAAAGTTCTTCGAAATAAGAGGTGTCAAGAATATATTTTATTTTATCAAATAACCAATGAAAGCGTCGAAATAAACAAAAGTTCTTGCGACTGCTGAAAAAGTAAATGTTGTGAATATTTTGGGAGAGAGGGAGTAATTAATTAAATAAAGGTAACTAAAGATATATTCCCCTCCAAATTAAGGTCCTACCCTCGATCAAACATAAACGCGATGTATTTATTTACATGTAACTGAATATTCATTTTTGAATAATTGATTTTGAATAAATTTATTTTATAAAATTTAGTTATGCTCGAAAATTAGTATTTTAGTTATTCAAAAATGGCTATTTCGTTACTCAAAAATGAATATTCACGGGGACGTACGAGAAATACCGTACATTTCGGATGTGTGATATAGGTACTCAAACAATAATACTCATCTTTTCCAAATAATTACTTCCTCCGTTATAAAACGGTCTTCACCGTTGCCATTCAAACGCTCAAATTTTATTCACTTTTGAAAATCTATTTTCCATTAGTTATTTAATAAAATAATATAGACTTGTCATATCTTGTTTTGTAGAATTTTTGATGTAGTTTTTAAATATATACATTTTTACTCTTTATTTTACACCTACAATCAAATAAATTGAATTGAAAATAAAGTCGGTCAAACATCGTAAACAAAAACAAGAAGAACGTTTTAGGACGAATGAAGTATCTTATTACGAATAATGAAATTTGACTGATTTTTTTATATTAAAGTATTAAAACATCACTGTTCAAAGGATTAGGAGGGACCGACCCAGAAGTGAGGTGTAGACCGACGTGAAAGGAATCTAGCATGAGACGATCCGAAAGCGAAGGCGTAGCCGTGCAGGAGTGCAAATCGTGAAGAAATCACAATTAGGCCAAGGAGACAAGGGCACGACTCTCGCTCCATTGACTCCTAACTAATCGTATTCTATAATTAGCGCTATTAGAAGTGCATACTCTAGCCGCATTATGCATTCATCATTCACAAGTGCCCACGATTTTCAAGTGTGACTTGCTCACAAAACCTTTGTGACATGACAATTGATGCATATAAGATCAACAATCCTCCTCTCAACAATTGATTTCATTCGGAATCAGACTTGTGGCCTCGACTCCAATACCACTTGGAGTTATCACATTTGAAATGTGTTTAAGTTTCACCAAACACAATCAATGCAAGGAGTGACTTCTTGTGTACGTTCTGTGCCAACTTGCACACCTCTCTTATTTGCAATATGTTTAAGTTGATTATTTATTATTCATATGATTAAATTATACTTTTTTTTCTATTTTAGTTACTTATTTGATAATATAATATAGTAATATCACAACTCGTTTCATAGAGCTTTTGATATTATTTTTAAATATGTAAACTTTATGGCGTATTTTTAATTCTATCCTAATTCTCAAATAAATTATATTAAAAATGATTTCAGACAAATATCATAAGTGAAAATAGATGATTTAAATTGGAACAGAGAAAATATTATTTAACAGAGAAAATATTATTATTTCACTCATTATGTTTGTTACCTCCTCTATTCATTTTTAAGTGACTATTATGACTTCTATAGGATAAGATATATCAAAAAATAAATGAATATTGATATACATCATGTCCAGGTTCATTTAATTTTTGATGTATCACAAAAGTAATAATGGTGATTTAATACCAAATGGAGTTGGAAAAAAAACCCAAACTCAACACCCGACACCAACTGTGAGTTTCCCTTCAGCAGTCAAACCTGAGAGCTTTATAATAATGAATGTATTCTTCAGTTTCATCACTTTTTGCTTGTGGGATTATGGAAGAATGAGACCAAAACAAACATCTTAAATTAGAAACTAGAAACTGAAGGTGTGATAAAATTACAAGACACAATACATCAACATATTTATATAAAGAATGGCATTTATTACAATAGCAGAGCTTCTCAAGGCTCCACAAATCAACTCTCTCAACTCTAAACCAAGAACCAAATGGAACTGGGAAATCACTCAAACTGTTTATACAGTCCCCCGGGGGTGGGGGGTGGGGGTGGCAAACAACACACATGAGGAACTGCCTCTAAAACATCTTCTTACTCTCCAAATCCCTCTCTTTTCTAGCTTTCCCTTACCAAGGGGTCATTCACAATGGATCCAGAAAACTAGAAAACAAATCTCCATATTTACAGTCGGCTGAACATTCAACGATGATATAACCACTACATTCACAACTATAGGAACCCAGATTTTGGTTTATTCGCGCTCAACTTCGGTTTGTCCTTAGCAGGCTTTGGTGCATTGACCGTTGTCTTCTTGACAGCAGCCGGACCAGAATGTCTTGTTTCTTGAGTTCCAATTCTTTGTTTCCCTGACCAAACCAAGTAAAGCACGTAGGGATCGGGTTATAATACGAAGCACAAAACAGAGTTGTCCTCAAGGGGCATCATGAAATATACTCCTCGTCTCCCAATAAAGTTCTCACTATCTTTTTTAGAATGTTTCATAATTAAATTCACTTCCACTTTTGGCACGGTCATTGATATCATAAATATAAAATACCCTTACCCCACTTTACTTTTATCGAGGGCGTTTTGCCTACTTATTTTTTTTGGAGAAGAGATTATTTTCAACTCCTAATCCAAGAACTCCTTAGAGATTCTTCTCAGCTATTATTTCTTTGTCTCTGTCAGAAGCTGAGAATCATGCACCAAAAGCACTGTAAAACACTACCAAATTACTTCTATCCAACATACAAGCTAAGAATTACCTCACCAGAAGCAGTGTCAAACAACACCCTCATCACCTCATGTCCCTATTAATTATCCTAGCCCTTTTTTAACCCATCCCTTTTTATTAGAAGAGCATTTCAAGAAAGTCAATACAGAAATTCATCTTGCCTAAAACATCTTGAACTCATACTGTAAACTTGTTTGGGGGATGAAAGGAGTTTATAATAAGTTACGCTATGACTATCCAGGAATAGGCATTACCAAAATGACCATGCAATACAGTTTATAGATATGGGGAGTATTTAACTGTCTTTTGGTAACATGTACTATTTTTAAGATTTCTTTTTTTTGGTTTTCACTTGTTTTGAAAACAGAAACATGAAAACATGTTAGGCAGTATTCTTTCCATCACCGGATTCTGAAAGAAAAAAAAGATATTTTAAAATTACTTTTTTTAAAACCATGTTTCAGATTCTGACACTACAAAAATTTAGTTTTTTGGAAAATATACAGAGCATTTTATACTAAATAATGTACTCCCTCCGTCCCAGAAAGAATTTCATGTTTTGATTAACGTGCAAAATCCCGTAGATTTTAAAATGATTTTATTTGAAAATTGGTATGGAAATAACACATAAAAAAATTATATTTAAAAACTACATCGAAAACTCTACAAAATAAGAGGCGACAAGAATATTTTATTTTATCAAATTATCAATGAAAACACGCAAACAAATTGGAGTTATCGAGAGGCTGTAATAGTAAACAGGAAAGACTTTTTGGGACGGAGGGAGTAAATCTTACCAAACATGTTGTATTGATTAAAAATAGATGAACAAAACATACACAGTTGCTTAAAACATAAAACAGGAAATGTTTTATAAAAAAATGTGTTGATATAGTAATGGTATGAATGTGCACAAGAAAAAGAAGACAGACACTGACCACTACTGGGCAGAGACAATCTTCTCTTTCCTTGTTTATCTGAAACGGTGACCCTCTCTTTAGGATTGCTGTGTGACCTTGAGACAAGTCTAGGTCTTGAACTAACTTCTTCACTCAAACTTTCTTGATTTCGTTTGGAGTTTGGAGGGCCACATGAAGAGGAAAGTGCTTCATGTGTGCTTGCAGAGCTGCATCCATTGGACTGTGATCCAACCATTTTTCCATTTGAGAGGTTTGTGCTAGAGCTTGAATGGGATGGACCAATTATTTCATTTGAAATGGAGGAAGAGATCTGTTTCTTGCTCATGGAGGATTTCATCTGTTTGTTGCTTCCATTCTTCATATAACCGGAGCCATTATCATCATGAATCTTAACTCCATCTGTGATATTCATGTCTAAAAAGCGATTTTCCCATGGACGTACGGCCATCCATCTCTCCAACCAGTTCCAGCCCCAGCTATTCTCATCCGGTTCAAAGCCGCCTGAAGTGACATGCTTCTTAGATCCTGCCTGCCACTGAAGCATCAAAGCAGAGATTCCTTTTAAGCTCAAAGACAATTATTATAGCAATAAAGAGAAATAATTAAAAGCTTTTATGGAAAAATAATTTAGAAACTATTAAGACAAGTTCCCAAGAAAAAAAAGCATGTGGTTCGTTTGGAACTCAGAAAGTGATACAACAGCCCGTACAATTCCAACTCTGTTGGGGTCTGGGGGTCAAGATGTATGCAATCTTATCTCTGTAAAAACAGAGAGAATGTTTCCGTCAGACCCTAGATGCATTGTTGCATTTACTGCCCAAAACTTCACAGAAAGTAAGAAGCAAGGGAAGTTTGGAAAGAATAGAGAATAGTGGGAAAAATAGCAGAGGAATTTCGGAAGAGAAGAAAATTTGAGAATAAATATTAGTTCACTCTTTTTATTTATATATTTTTATTTATAAAGACCGAAGTCCCGTCCACAGAGCGCCAAACGTTCCCCATCTTGTGGGGGTAGGTGGAGGGAACACCGTATATGTTCACAGCCTTTCCCAGATTTTTTTTTTGAATATTATCAAGAGGCTGTTTCCAAAGTGGTTCAATGGCGCGGCCTTCTTGTCAACAAAGGACCAACTCAACACTCTTTCTATATACAAGAATAAGAAGAAGAAGAAAGGAAGTATAATTCCTAGTTCGTTGGGGTCTTGGGTGTCAAGATGTACGCACCCAAAACTATTTCAGTTAGACCATTGATGCATTGTTGCCTTTACAACCCAAAACTTCATAGAAAGCACAAAGAAAGGGAGGTTTAATGTGCCATTTTGATTTAGTCAATTATTTAATCAAAGCTAAAACATTGTAACTTTACTGGTATGCCATCTAAAAATCATAAAACCAATGTTAAAACTGGAATCTAAAAACTTTACTGGTATGCCATCTAAAAATATTGAACCTGCTAAAGGATATTTGCTTGGAGATAGAGGAACACCTCAGTGGTCTAAACTGGTATGGAACAGACTCACCATGCCAAAACACCATTTTTTTTCTATGGCTTCTGTTGAGAGACAGAATACAGACCAATTGCAGACTAAACAAATTTCTGAATATTGATGTAGCCAGCATTCTATGTTACCAAGATAGGGAGGATATTAACCACATATTTTGTGGAGGTTCATATGCTAAAGGAGCTAATCACAGGGTCCTTGACTGGATGCAATACAACTCTGCTTCTAACAGTCTTCAGAGATTCAACGGCAAGATTTTGAGCATATCTACTTAACTAGTAAGGAGAAGGGGATTATGATTGCTACTTGGGCAGACATTCACTATACCATTTGGAAAGCAAGGAACTGCAAAGCCCATAAGAAGAGGGAGATGAAGGTGGAAGGTTGCACTGAGTATATTAAAAAGCAGATCAAATACTTTGTAAATTACAAGCTTAGAGATACTGTCAAAGTGTGGAGTTGGTGCTTGTCTTTTTTCTGTCTTCGGGTTGGTTTGTGATACTCTTCCCTGGTCTTAGAGTATTGAAATGAAGTACATACGGTTCCAAAAAAAGAACCCTAAAAAACTAATTTCCTTAGCATGTTTTCCATTCACTACCATTTTCCGTGCTCCAAACATAGCTTAACATTTCTAGGATGTAAAATGAAAACCTGGTTAGCCAAGGCATATGCCATTGCTCTCTCACGCTTAGCTGCTGCCTCTTGTCTCTTTAAGAGTTTGGTTTGAATTTCTTCAACAGACCCAATGCTGTCACACCACCCTTCCTGAGAAATTGGTTTTGAGATGTCAGAGGAAATCAGAAGCATGTTTGTGCTTAACACCATAAGCTACCCCATTTTATATACGGAGTATGATGCATCATAAGAATATAAATCCTAGCAATTCTCAAAGCAAGAACTGACACATCAAGGGCTCGAAACCCACAAGGGTGGGAGCAATCACTACTATCGTGTGCATTACATCCTCATTTTGTGTCAGAAAACCAGAAACAGTAGACCAAATAAAGCCCTGAAAATATCAATCACCGTGGCCTTTTTTTCTCTTTAAGATATTGGAATTCTTTTTAAAAAGTAAAAACCGATAGTAATGTAAAAATTACACAAACTCGTTTACCGTATATTTTTCTTCCCCATCAAAGAAAAAGATAATAATACTCCGTTATAAACACTAATTATTATTATTATTGTTGTTGTTGTTGTTGTTGTTATTATTTATTAATATTATCATCATCATCATCATTATTATTAATGTTATTCTCCCTCCGTCCCATAAAAACAGTCCATTTTCTTATCTTTTTTTGTCCCAAACAAGTCCAATTTTAACAAAAGAAAATAATTTTGATCTTATTTAATATTTTCTTTAAAAAATTTCCTAAACAAGTTCAATTTGTTAAATTTAGTTAAACCATAAGTCTATATTTGGTGATTTCTAATAGTTGTACAGCAACAACAAAAAACCTAGTGTAATCCTATGAGTGGGGTCTGGGGAGGGTAAAATGAAGGCAGACTTTACGTCCACCTGCGAGGGGTGGAGAGACGGTTTCTCATAGACCCTCAACAAAGTTGTACTGCTATCAAACACGACTCTTTTAATGCGACGAAGAGAGTAATAATATGAAAAAGAAACACATTTTAAAACAATGCAATGAGGAACTATTATTGGTTCTAAGCAATAATCAAAACTATAGTAGATGCTTACTTCTATTTCCCGTACATGGGCTTCATGTTCTAGCTTCTGCTGAAGTATGTGATGTGATGTTTGACTCTCCAGTGCAATACGAACGCGCCTTGCTCGGATACGAGCTTGAACTCTTACAAGAGCTTGCATACATCGAAGGGTAGTAGCAGCTTGTTTTCTTATGGCATGACCCCTCACAAGTGCTTGAAGTCTCACTAATCCTTTTAAAGCCCGCAGAGCACGCCTAGCCTAACAATCACCATTTCCCCCCAAAACATTCAAACAATCTACCTTGGACTTTAATTAATGAATCAATGATAGTTACATGTTCTGAATTCAATATATAGTTTGTTTGGTGCATGCACATGTATTGACATTTAATAGTATTGTGACTATAATGATATTTCCGAATTCATTTCATTCCATATAAACAACCATTTCCAAAGTTGTGGGTCTCTTAAAGTTCATTACAATAATTGTGTCTTATATGCACATTCCTAAGAAAAACTTGACAAAACCATACACTCAAATCTTGTTGGGTCACAACATGGATTGTAACAAACAATACCGTTGGGTTGGGGGGGTGGAAGAATCTGTTACACCCTTGATGCATCCTAAACTGCACACATATTGGAAACATGGAAACACCAAATTTTCCAAATTTTATCGAGGATTTGTGTGTCGAGACATCCCCAAGTACCAAAATGGGGATGTTTTGAGGAGGAAACCAGCACTTATTTGAAAAATCCGTGCAACATAATTGCATCAGCTGCATTTATTACCCAAAACTTCATAGAAAGTAGTCAAGTACAAAGCAATGGAAGTTTAACGTAACATTTTGATTTAGCCCAATATTTCCCCGGGGTTAAAACATTGTGAAAATGACTCCTTTAGCAATGGACACACACACTATATCATGAATTCCAATAAGCATTAAAGCCTTTGCTACACGTAAAACTATCATATCCTTCTTTGAATTCATAAGAAAAGAAATCAAAAATACATTCATTGAAGATTGGTCCATTATATGATGTATAGTTAAAGATCAGAAAATAAGTTATTGTTTGCATTAAAACTGAAGTCTAAATAGGGTAACGGCTTTGGAAAAAAGAGGCAGCAATATCTACAAGAATACTTCAACTACATGGTGAATGATATATGCACCAAGTCTAGCAACCAACTTGAGTTAAGCATTGGGAGAAAATTCAGTACCAGAAATCCTCGAAAAGCAGTTTGAATACGTATTGCAGCCCATTCTTCTCTCATACTCAGTTGACTTTGAGCTGCATCCTGCACTTGATATGAGCAAGAAGGCGAGCCAATACCATCAGGAACTGAAATGCTAGCATCTTCAATGGATATAGAAGCATCATCAATATGACTGAACTCATTCTGAGGTAGGTCCCTATCAATCTCAACAGAATGCTTTCTCCCATGTCTAGACTTTCTACTGCTTCCACTTTTCTGCAATTTGAGATAAGTTGTTCATCTTTGCTGATAAGTGTACATAACTAGCAAGGTAGGTGTCAAAAAGGAAAACTACTAGTGGCATGCAGAAAGGATTGCTGTTTTGGAGGAAAACTTTCCACAATTTGTAGTTTTTCACTTGAGAGAAATTGTTCATCCTTGCTGATAAGTTGACTTAACGATATAGTAACTAAAACTGCATCAAGAATCGTGGAGAATAACATTATCAAGAAGACAATGCTCACATTTTCATTCAACCCAGTGGCATATGATTTCTCAGGTCTTTTTAGACCAATCAGTGCCCTAAACCACTTCCCAGAAACTCCCATGACAGAGTTGCTTCAGGTCTCTCAACCTCAAAGTCTCAAACCTGTAGCATGAAATCTCAACACATTTAACAATGGACACCAGTTATTTAGAGCTGGCTAAACAAAATAAGTGTACTCCTTTTTTGTAAAATAAATTAATGATTAAATGTTTATACAAAAACGAGGGAGGCATGAGAGGGTGTTTCAAACAAATAGAACAACGAAAGTTACGAAACCAAGCTAAAGCTTCAAGAAAAATTAATGAGGAACCATGTTTATTTTGAACATCCATATAATTCATGTTTATCTAAATAAAGGAAAATTTTAAAAGGCTCACACTGACTCTATTACATTCTCTTTGGTACATCATCCGATTATAACGGCTAACCAATGTTTGACAGTCTCTTCTAATATAGAGGCGTAGAGCCCTGCTTCAGTTTCAACAAAAGGAACTCCATATTTTTAAAGCAAGTCAAGAAATAAATGATCTTTATTCCTTTCCTTCAAAAAAGTAGAAACAAACATCATATGCGAGTGAAGTAATGAATTTTAAAAGTAAGATTCTAATGCACACATTATAGATTTTGAGAATGCAAAATGCAAGAAAGGAGTAGGATACCGCTGCTTTAAAAACATAAAAATGAGATCGTCTTTTTTACACTAAAGCAAAAAATTAGGCAAAAAACTTTTTTTCATTTCTCAAACTAGACCTTTCGACACTGAACATATTTTTTAATTCAAAATGCAAACCATGCAACAGCTGTGATTTTAAATACAATATCATGCATGAAAGGCTTGAACAAGCACCAAGCCAAGTATGCAAATCATGTACATATACACACCTTGTTTTCAAAATTAAAAATGACACGGGTAGTTTGTACTTAATGAAGTTGACTTAGTCATAAAAATTGTTTGACAAAACCATAAGGGAACAAGTAATACGCTGATCTGTTAAGCAATAGACTACCAACCAAAAGGTGTATCTCATTAGATGATAGTGAAAACTACACTTAACAGAACATTAGGGAAATTCTTCGTTCAATCCTCCTACTACACTTAAATGATATCACATTGTTAAGTATTCTTCTTTCAATCCTCCTACTATAGGTGTACTTCCACCTTGGGACCTTCGAGTTTAAATTTCACCAGAGTTAAAGTACATGAGGTAGGGGTAATCCACAAGGGTAATGAGTAAAACAGATGGAATGTCGTAGTCTAATGGATGGATGACAGTAATCAGCTGAAATTTGGGAGGCAGTATCATGGAGATAGAGCATAGCAATCAGTTATGGGATGTCATTATTACATCCATTATGGCATCCAGCGCAACACATGACCATTGTGTTTTTTTGCATGCCTTTAAAACGTTAAATAATCTTACACAATTAATTGACACTACAAAGTACAAATTTAATGCTGCCAGCCCCAACTAGTTGTGATTAAGGTGCAGTTAATGATGATGATGCAACATATGGCAAATAATTGAAAACAACTTGACATTTAACTGTGGAACTGATCAACTAATTATTTCCTAATGCATTGTACAAGTCCAAAATGGAAATATCATATAATTAAGTGGTTGTATTAGGATACTTCGATATAGTTATTCTGCTGTAGGGGCATAGCCGCGTAAGGCAGGCAAATGCTAAATCTCTGCCCATGTAATAATTTGGTATGGTGATGTTTTAGTGCCATCATTGCTTCAAGAAACTACAATATGCTATTTTAAAACCTTAACTCTTCAATAACTTAAGAACATGAACCATTTTGTGCAACAACCTTAGCCGCGTATGCATAAATAGATTATTATTTATTAATATATCTCATGCATCAAATATTGGATAGTAACTTGAGTTGTGCTTTAAATCTTCAAGCAATGTGATATGTGATACAGGCTGGGAGATGCAAATGATGCACTTTGGAAAGGTCATGAGAAGAATCTTGGGGATCAAGACTTGCCTTAACTATGAATTGTTGTCAGTTTTGGGATATAATTTTTATCTGTTCAGTAACATAGAAATATAATAATTATCAGTGTTATAATTGGTTGTATTAGTATCTTTAAGATATTTAGTTATTAATATATTATTAGCATATATGGATTGCTCATTAAAAGGGAATATTATTAGTATTTGAATATTCAAATTATTAGTATAGGAATATTATGGTTATTGCTAGACTAGGTACTTATTATTGGAAAACTGCCTAAAATATGAATACTACCTACAATAAGACTCTGTACTCCCCTTTATACATTGGTTTGAAGTCAATAATAATCTCAATCAGTTAAATGAATCCTTGGCATATGTAATACAAGATTTTTGGAGAACTCTAAGAGGAAGTAGGAGAGCACTCAGCAAGAGCTCTTAAACTTATTTTTAATTCTTTACTCATGATGAACCCGGGCATAAAACAAAATGCTGGTACCTTGAAATTGGGTTCCAAAATAAAGATTATAACTTTCAAGACAATGCACGAACGAAGATATAAGGAGCTCAGATCCCGTGGTGCTACACCACAAGTCCAATCACAATAACAAAGAAAGGGTAAACTGGATAAGCTCTAATGATCTATGTTAGATAATAGTAATAATTATCTATGTTATGGTAGTCTTTGTATTTTAGCCAGCTTCTATTATTGATTTCTATTCCTTGATGGGCTTATAATCCCCTGCATATATACTCTGTCATGAATTTCATTATTCCTTGAGTAATACAATTATTCCATTATTCAATATGGTATCAGAGCCACTGCTCTTGGTGATCTAAATATCTTCTCTTTCAACAGTGTGCATGCTTAAGAGCTGCCACCGATCCCGACGAGCGTGTCTACCAGCCGCCATCCCTTATCCTTCTCTTTCTCTCCAACAAATTATGAGTGTGCCCAACAACCGCCGTCTCTCTCTCTCTCGCTACCAAAAACAATTGTGTGCGTGATCGAAGAACTGAAAAGCTGCGTTTGTCTGTATTTCTTCTAGAGTTTAAGAGCATGAAAAGCGATAGAGAAGTTGAGAATGACCCAAAAGGAGAAAAAAAGAAAGTCCTTGCCCTTGCTCCAATCGTCAACACTCTCCGACAGAAAAGAAACTCAACACACGCCATCTCATGCTTGTTCGTCACGTAACAAAGATCTGTCTCTCTATTTCTAGCAGACTTACTCACGAAGGCGCTATCTTCTACATGGTTCTAGGCTCTTGTTTCCAAAATTCCACTCGTGACACGAGTTCAGCTTGAAGGGAGATGTTAGACAATAGTAAAAAATTATCTCTGTTATGGTAGTTTTTGTATTTTAGTCAGGTTCTACTATTGATTCATGTTCCTTGTTAGGGCAATAATCCCCTCTATATATACCTTGCCATGTATTTCATTATTCCTTGAGTAATACAATTATTCCATTATTCAATAACTTAGATCAAAGAGGAAGGGACCAAGGAGCATGAACAAGTTGGAAATGAGACTCGGAATTGAAGAAGACGATTTGAAGACCCACTGGCCACTGCAGTGTTGAGTTCATTGCCAAGAGTAAAAAGAACATCATAGTGGGATCGGAATTCAGAGAGGATTCATACCCCACTGTGGTGGGGCATTCTTAAGGTGAACATCAGATCCACCTCCACACTGGCGGTCACAAGGCTACCTACATCAAATATAATGTAAAACTTCGTTTCCTGCATAGAACCTTAATATTTGTCCTAGTGTCATCTGTGGGCACACAACTAAAAATGCATGTAATGGAATGCCATCAAATGGTCTTGTTTGATCTTGATAGCCCTCTCTTCAACCCGGTCAAGCTCATTGGTCCAGTGGAGATGCAAAAGGAAGCTACGATTGAAGGAAATAACATTGACAGATAAGATTGAGGAAGGAAAGTAGAGGGAAATCCACATTACTGTTGTAGATATCATTTTCCGGATGTATGAGGAATTTGGATAAACTATCAAAGTATCTCCATGAAAAAAGGTTTTTCCTGAAACTCATCCCCACTGCCTTTTCTGCTCAAATTGTCAATCTCTGCGGTTACTCTCGTATAACATCCAAAAGAATGTCCTTCCGTGACAGCCTCTCTACCTTTTCTAGGTAGAGGTAAGTCCCCTCAAACCTCATTAATGGGATTTTACTAGATTGGTTGTTGTGTTTGTTGTAACATCCAAAATAAATACTCCATACTTGTTTTCGCAGAAAATTACTCCGGGTACTCTCGATTTTCTATTAAGAACTATGAGGTCAAACATTATTTGAAATGTGCTTCGAGGTACCCTCGATTTTCTTGTAAAAACTCACAAGTTCCACATTATCTGAAAATTTGAAATAAACTCTGGGGGTCCTTAAAATTTGTGGCAATATATACTCTGAGGACATATTCCGTCTATTTGGTCGTTAGGATTGAAAGTTCCGTTACTTTGACATGTACTAAGTTTTACATAATCATTTATTAAATTTTAATAAAATCCTTCAACTTGTTAAAGAAACGAAACTTTCAATCTTAACACCCAAATGGACTAAATGTACCCTCAGAGTATAATATCACAAACTTTAAGGACCTCGAAGTATATTTAAGATAATGTGGGACCTGAGAATTCTTAGCAGAAAACTAAGGGTACCCCAAAGTATATTTCAGATAATGTGGGAATCGAGGGTACCTCTAAATAATTACCTGCTTGTTTTCATCATGGTACAAATCTATAGGACGTTGGGCAATGCATATAAATATATAATCAAAGACATGAAAAGCACCATATTTCTCAGCCTCACCAAACTGGAACTATAGCCAAGTAATGTAAATTTTCTTAATTCTCCTTCACAGCTCGTAGTCCGCAAATTCTAGGGAAGTAACTCCCATTTTAAGAATTTTTCAAGGAACACAGTTCAACTTAACACTTGCCTTATAAAGCTGAAAGGAAACCCGAAACGGAATTCGAACACAGGATGATGTAATTCAATTCAGAGACAACAATGCAGATATATACCTATGTAAAAAAAGAAGCTAAAAAAACTTGAATGAGTCCAAGTAAGGAGAGATAGATGGAAAGAACCTTCTGGTCGGTGGGTGAATTACATCGATGGATCAATCCAAATATCTAAGATCCAGTGAGGAAGGAATCCGAATCTCGAGCCAATCCACTCCGCATTTTACCCTCAGCTAAGAACCCGCGATAAAGCTTGGTCGATGATTTCAGATGAATTCGAATTCGGTACTTTCTTGCTCGATGACAATAAATAAAGCTTCATATAAGCGTAGGTGGGAAAGGAATGGCAACGTCGTAGTTTAGAATATTATAGTCGTGGCATTGTTACATTGTTTAAGGTGTGAATTCTCAAAACCTTCCTTTGTGTTTCCCAAATGAAAAATGATAGGGTACACCTAGTCTACCCCAAATATCCCCACCCCCTCCTTGTCCACTAAAAAAGACAAAAAAATTCAAAAAAAAATAAGTACATAAAAATCAAATAAAAATGTGTGGAGGAAAATAGGGTGGTGTACATTTGGGGTACACCTTTTGGTGTACCCCTAGCATTACTCTTCCCAAATTAGTCATAATAAGTAATAATTACTTGCTTGATCTTTATAATTGGAAGTTATTCTCTAAGTAGATCTCGGCCAAAAATGTCTAATAAATATCAGTTAAATAGAAGTATTTTTGGGGGTGGAACAGGTCGGATCAGTAGCATCTGACCTCGACTTGTTTTTATAACAAACGGCTGAGAAAGGCCGGGTTGTTGAAAAACTATTAGAGCATTGGCAGCGGCGAGGGCACCCCTTGCCTCGCCCTGCCACATCAGGTTTTTTTCATGTTTGCCGAGGAGTAGTAAGTCGTGTCACCCTACATATTAAGTCAGGCCCGTGGCAGCTATGCTCCCTTTCTCTCTTTTTTTGTTTTTTATTATTATTTATTTTTTGTACAAAAAATATTTTTTTTACATTCATTTTTATAAAAAAATAAGTAAAAATAATTTTTTATAAATAAAATAAGTTAAAAAGTGTAAAAATTGTAAAAAAAATAATGACTTGCCATTGCAAAGCATACCACTTTACTCACTTGCCACACGCTGACTGGACCGATTCTGATTGGTTAGAATACTCCACGTCACCGTGTGACATTCCATTTTTTACTCGTCATTGCCGATGTTCTTAGGAATTGACTAACCCGACTTGTTTTAACCAGTTCGGTTTTGCGGATCCGCAGGTAGAAAATTACTTCAGGGTACCATCGATTTTCTCGTAATGACTCCCAGGTCCCGCATTGTCATAAATATACTCCAGAGTACCCTCAATATTTTGGTAAGAACTTTCGGGTTCCAAAGTATGCGAAATATACTTTGGGGTCCTTAAAATTTATGATATTATACTTCGAGGGTATATTCCGTCCATTTAGGCGTTAAGATTGAAAGTTTTTTAACTTTAAGAAACTAAAGAATTTTATTTAAATTTAATAAAATGATGATTATGAAACAAAAACTTCATATTTGTCAAAGTACTAAAACTTTTAATCCTAAGAGTCTAATAGACGGAATATATCCAAAAGTACATGGGAGAAAGACCAAAGTAGGATTAAAACATTGAAAATATACCAAAATAGGACTTCCATGTTTTTAATCTTGAAATAGGATTTAAAATGCATTTACATTACCAAACATGGTCATGTACATTACCAAAAAGTATAGCAACGTGCACATGTACACTGCCACATTACAACCACATTACCATAGTGTGAATAGGTTTGAAACTCTCATATCCAAATTGAGTCTGCATGCTCCTTTTTTACACCTGAGCACTTATTTTTGAACATAAAGTGTTAGCTAATGTGTTCAATTAACTTTATTTTCTGAAATCATTAATGAGAGGCACATTTGGAGCTCAACGAATTTACATGTACAAGCTTTTTCATTAGGAGTAGTCTGTCAGCTTCAAGAACTTAAGGGTCATACTAAATTTTGAACTTTAAATCTCTTTCTTGCATCAAGAACTTAGCCTCTAGGAAAGAAAGAATTCTCTATCCGACGAAGTAAAGATGGTGTGAACCAAGATTGCTTTACCACAAACATGGACAGGAAAGCAATCCCTCAAAATGAGGAGGTTTATCAAACCCTCATGAATGAAGCTGTTCGAAAAAGAATGATCTTCTTCTGCCACCACAATTCACCCCTCTGTGCCTGAAGTGAATCTGGTCATCTCCCTTCCAAACGATGAAGAAGATGTACTCAACTACCCCATCTCAAATTCCTCTAAAGTGTTGTATCTTAAGTGCGCACCCTTGAATGCGCCAAGTAAAGAACCTGTCGCAAATCCCAGCAGTGAAACTTAATAGATTCTTGGCCAAGATGATGCTTTGAGGGATGTTATTGAAGAAGAACATATGATTGCTTGCTCAGATGCTCTGTTTCTGGAAACCAAAGTCAACCCCCGAAGTAAAAGTGAAGAAAAACAAAAATCAAAAGGGCCACAACATTGGTCTCTGAGAAAGATGAAGACATCCTTGGGTTCTGAGGTTCAAATGAAAGAAGAACAAGGAAAGCAGGATCTGAAGCGAAAGAAACCTTCCTCATGTTCAAAGAAGAGGAAAATAAATGTGATGACTTCACTCCAGTGCTCAGCTTCAAGAACTCAAAATATTCAAGGACTTCTCAATCTCCATCAATTGTCTCTCAAGAAACCAGAAGGTCAGCTGCAATAAAGACAATCTCTCACACATGAAATTCATCTCTAAAATTCTTTATCTCTGCTTATACAAAAACATTCACTCCTGACATCATGAAAAAATTCTTCATCTCTCAAAGAAATCTTGATGTGTTACTATGAGAGAAAAACCAATTTGCTACCTCTTCTTCACCAAAACAAGCTGTTTGAGTCTGTTACTCTACCTGGCTCTTTGTGAAAAAAGTTATTCAAGAATTTTAGTGAAACCTGTCTGATTCATGCACATCAGTTGATGATCCCTCTTATCATGAAGTATTTCTTTGTGGAAAACTTTATGATTTCTCTCCTGCTGTTATCAACACTTTTCTTGTCACAATTTCTTATCCTATTATGCCCCATCCCAATGAAAGTTTTGTTTGGAATGATCTTACCAATGAAAAAAGAAAGTCTCAGGCTGGAAAATCCAACGTCCCTTCTTCAGACTTTAAAAGTTGATATGCCATACTCCTTAGAATTGCGACATCTCACTGGCTCCCCACAACACTTACGAACACTATTCCACTGTGTATGGCCACCTTCATCTACAGAATCAAACATAACGTTCCCTTTGATCTTGGTAGGCTTATTTTTGAGTAGGTTATGCCTTTTGTTGCTGCCAAGCCTGAGCACAATTAGAGTGGTCTTCCCTACCCTCTCATGATTTATGGCATTCTAAAGGGTCAAGGCTTTAAAGAAGAAGAAACTGAAGAGGAAGAATCCATTCCTCCTCTCCTAAAGGTAGACAACAAAGACTTTGAGGGCAAGCACTTCAATGACATGGTTGAGGAGTGTAACAAGGATGGTCATGTTCAACATCCAACTCCAACCTCCACACAACTCAAATTCTTGGACAGAGAGATAAAATCTTTGAAGATGGATGTGGATTATCACACCGAGTTTGCCCAGAAATTGGCAGAGAGAAGGGATATGTTAATACTGATTGTCAAAACCCTGAAACGCAGTGTGCAGGAAGCATCTAGCCAGGGGGAGAGAGTGAGCCAGGACAGAGAAATTGATGAGAAGACCATTGCTGATTCTGAAGGACAAGATGCACAAGATGCTGTAGACACATCTAAGTTTGAGGAGAAACTTCATAAGTTTGATGGATCAGATAGTTCTAGTGCAACAGATTAATTCACTCTCATTTGTTTTTGAATTCAACAAATTGTCTGTTTTGGATTAGAGTTTTTCTATCACTGGGTTATGTATTTTGGTTTAAAGCTTATCTTTGGGTGTGTTTCCTCGCACTATTTTTCTTGGGTTAACTTTGACACCACCTCTAGTTTTCTACTTGGTTACATTATTTTGAAGTGTTTGGGCCTAAGAAGATCATATACATGACTACATCTCTCACATGCATGCCATTTGTCTGAAACACCTATGAGATGATCCATTTTTTCTTTCGTATTGCAATGTGTTTCCGTATCTTGAAGGTACTTCGGCTGATGACTGATGTTGGTATAGCTCTATTTTGTAGGATCTTATATGTTGAATCCTTCCTGTATCTATTCTTGATCGTATTGAATTTTACTTTTCTCACTTCCTCCTTTGCAAAGTTTTGAATACAATTTGGCATTTTTTCTACAAAAAGGGGGAAAAAAGGTTTTAAATGGCTGAATAGTATTTTTGTGAAAAAATGTGAAATAGGGAGATTGTTACTTCCTATGTTCCCTTTGTCACTTTATAGTTGAGTTGTTAATTCGTGAGACACGCACAACCGTGCTCTACTTGCGAAAAAGCAGAATAGTTGATATCTAGGAGAAGACTTCAACTGTGACTCTGCTATGCATATTTGATATTCAACAAGAGACTCCTGATACAACTCTACTAGGATTTTACTCTAGCATATATATTGAAGATACATCTCATGAGAAGGCAACGAGTGGAATATGAAAAAAAGGAGTCAACAAAAAAAGAGTGAATAAACAAAGTATGATCATGCCTCTCATTTAACATCTGAGCATGGATATACTGAGAAGAAGGTCACTAATCTTTATTTTGATCATTGAGAGATTATCCAGAAGTTGATTAGTGGTGATCTGGAATTAGGCCAGCAACACATCGTTTATGTAGAACATGAAGAAGGTGTAACAAGTCCAAGAGGAAGAGTCGGAGAGTTTATAGTTGATAATCACTCGTAAGTTTCTAATCAATACATTGACAATCTGGTGTAGTTGATTGTAAACGCTACAGTGATTGTGTAAAGAGTTAGTACACGAAAGTCTGCCTCGCAGACGTCGGAGATTCACAAGGTTTAGTGAAAGTGCTACAACATGGTTTCTGAGTATATCATTGATTGTTTCATTTGCACTCTCGTCCTACAAACTTTCAATGATCACGTGATTTGACATAAAGCCATCAAGAATGGGTTTAAAGACTTCAAGTTAGGGTCATCATACTACGTTAATTAGGAACATTATGTAGGAGCGTCATTTTAAAACAATACTGCACTAGCTAGTAAAATGAAAGAAAAGAAGTCAAATTTCAATTTCTACTGAAATGGATTTCCAATACCAAAGTTAGAACCTCCATTCCCGATGCCTGCGGAGGCGCCGCCGTAAATATCATGCGATTCTGATGACGCCGGTACAATTATGGGCGGCGACGACACGGTGGGGAATAGTCCAGAACCGTAAATCCCTTTCCCGGCATTATCGCCGTCGATGTCGAGCCCTTGATCGTACAGGAATCCTTTGAATACGTGGCCACCGATTCTCACCACCGCCTGGTAAGCGTATTCGTCGTCCTCGCCGCCGTCCACGGGGCTCACTCGCACGCACCTGAACTCCGCGTGGGCCATCACCTGCTTCGGCATAGAGCCGCCGCTGTCGCCGGTGGTTGCCGTGGCGGCGGTGTTGTTTGAAGTTGAAGCGTGGGAAGTCTGGGAATGGTTCCCCGGGAGAAGTCTGGGCTTCTTCGAGCCGGAAGAAGCCGACTGCGAGCGCGATGCCGTCACGGCGGAGGTAGAAAAGGGGTGGCTTTCACGGCGGCGAGCGGCCGGAACCCACGTGCTCTTCACGTGGGTGGAGCAGTCCAGCCCTCTGTTCTTGCAACATGTCCTGCATCTCTGGTGGATGCAGTCCTTTTTGGCTTGATTTCCGCAGTCTCGGCAAGCCGTAGCCGCAGTGGCGGCGGCGGAGTACGACGGCAAATCCGTGGCGGTGCCGCCTTGAAGCGGAAGCAAGTTTTGAGAACCCACTCTCGCTCTTCCGCCGGCGTCCTCCATCCCAACCGCAGCAGCATCACTCGCGCCGCCGGCACAAGAGGGGTAGTACCCCGCAGCCGCCGGAGCAGCCACGCTCTGCCACAACTGCAATCCGCCGCCTCCGCCTCTGCTACAGCCGCCCACAACCAATTCTTCGGGAAGCAAAGGGATCACGCCGAGTGTTGCGGGGCAGGACCCGTCGAAGCCGACGAAGGCGGAGGGCGGATACTGGCCGAGAAAATGCGGGTGGTGGAAAGAGGCCGCCGGCGCCACGACAAACATACCCATATCCGGCAAAACCCCATTGTTACTGCTCTGCATCTGCCTAACGGAAGGGGAACTCCACGGCGCAAGATGGACGGCAGCATCGCCGCCAAGTGCGGCGGAAATTGGGGCAGCATTATTGAAACCTAAAGAAAGGTCCCCAAAGGCTGCAGCAGAGGAATGAACAGAGGAAAGGGGGGAAGAAGAAGAAGAAGCCACAGCCCCACAGTCTGGAATTATGTCTCCAACAGATTGAAGATGCCTACCAGTAGAAGCCACAACTGCGAATTCGATCTTTTTCAATTCCAATAAAGAAAAATAAAACGATGAATTACAGTAGTAATAATAAATACAGTAAAGAAAGAGAAATCATCAAGAGAAAAAAAAATAAAACCCAAAATCTGAATGGGGTCTACAATACATGCAGATTGCAGAAGAAATAGTAATGGAAGAAGTGATCCTATTTTAGAGCAAACAAGAAGGTGTACGTGGAATTGATCTCTCGCGGTGAATGGGTGCTTTAATGGAAGTGAGGGACAAAACATTAGAACTTTTTGTGGGGGGTTTCGTGCCTTCTCTTCCACTGACCTATAGTTCCTAGCTAGACACTAGGGGGGTGTGATCAAGTCCTCTTCCTCTTCTTTTTTTTTCCCTTTTTTTTAAAGTCCTCTTACTTATTCTAGTCTTCTAGTAAAACCATTCCATTTCTAATTTCTTCATTGGAAATAATATGTACTTATTTTACACGTTTTGATTAAAGTTGAAATTAAGAGAGGGATAATTTTGTGTTGACTTTCTAAAAATACCCTTAATGTGATGGATAAAAGTAGGATGTGATGTGTTGATTATTAAGAAAAAGGTATGATGTGATAGGTAGGGTTTGAAAAAGTAAGGGATAAAAGTGGTTTTTTAATTGAAATGGGTGGGAGATTGTGAGATGCAATTTTTTTGAAAGGTGTAAATCTTTTTGGGATGGAGGGAGTACTTAATTTCTATTTCTAGAAAGAGTCCTTTTTTTCTTAATTTCTACATATTACTTATTCTATTATTTGTTCGGGTATTTGTGCAGCTTTAACTTTTATAATTAAAATTGATGAATTTTAACCACTAGTTAAATAAGATCATTATTAGACATTGATACAAAATAAAAAACTACGTACTGCATTTTTTATTACAAGAAAAATAAATAAAATAAAAAAATAACATATGCTCACTTCGACTCAAACTAATAATTTTAACTTATTTATTTTTCAAAATTAAAATACTTCTTTTGGTACTTAAAAAAATGAATAATAGAGAGATGAAATAAAATACTGAATAATAGCAAAAGATAGTTTTTTTAAAAAAGTTGTATGCAGTATGCAACAAGCGTACATAACATGTCATAATTTTTTGGATGAGAATTTTCGAGCCGGGTTTTGCGTAATGTGTCGTATTTGCTTGATCACAACAAAAAATTGTTCAACATCTTTTTTTCCTGACACTCTTGGTATTTGGAAAACTTCTTTCTTTTTGCATCATCACAGAATGGTATAGTTTTAAAAATAGTCGCATCTTGCATGTATATAGTGAAGTACACGGTATTAGTGTGATAAAATTTTGATCCTGGAACCGTCGGTTCCCGGTATTGGAGGGAAGAGAACCATAACCGACACCAGCGGTCGGCGACATACTCTGGGTCCAGTTCCTGGTATTGATATTGGTTATTTTAATTTAATGTTTTAATGTTGAATTTTAATTTTTAATAATGTAAAATTTTTAAAAAACGTAAAAGGGGAGAAGTGAAGTAATTTCAAGGTTAAGATTAGAAACTTTTAAGTGAAATTTGAACTGAATAGGACTAAACATAAGTCATTTCCCAATGTAGGACTTAAATTTTTTTATTCCCTAAATACGACTTAATAATGACTAGTGGGAAGAGTAATGTTCAAGTGATGCTTGACATTTAGTTGAACAATGACTAATACATAATGACTAATGGTCCTACATTCGGAAATAAAAACACATGGTCCTATATTGAAAAAAATTATTATGTTTTAGTCCTACTTAGGTAAATTACCCTTAATTCTCCTTAAAAAATCAAAGTAACAGGTGGTCAAACTGTGATTACAAAGTGCTTATCCATTTAGACACTATTTAGAGGGTGTTTGGGATTTCATTTGAAAATAATTTATAGCATTTTAAATGTTTGCTAATCTGCTTTAGCTTATAAATTATGTCTTTAGAAGTTAAAATTAAGGTCTAGAAGTGCTTTCTAGCAAAGCTAAAAATACATGTTTTCTGCTTTTAAATTATGACTTCTACTTTTACATAACTCACCACACCCCCCAAACACCCTCTTAAGAGCATGTGCAATGGTGAGGCACAAATAGAATGCCACACAATGCCGTGGAACATTTCAACCAATAAAAAATAGTCCAGTTAGCGTGTGGCAAGTGAGTGGAGTAGCAAGTTATGCAGTGGCAAGTCACTGTTTTTTTCATTTTTACACTTTTTTTATTATATTTTAATTATTAAAATTTTTTTAAAAATTTTTCCCAAAAAAATTAATGTACTTTTTCAAATAAATAATTCTTTCTTGTATAATTTTTTGTGTGTTTTTGAAATAAAAATAAATAAATAAAAGATAAAAAAGGGAGATTATGCCTTGCACATGCCTTGCATATCATGGAGGAATGCCCCTCCCATGCGTGGCAATACCAATTTTAATGCAAACTTATCCTATGTGGCATGACAGTCTTTAGACTCGCCATTGCCAATGCTCTAATACTCCTTTCATTCCATTTCCTCTTTATTTCAAACTTTATTCAGTTTAGTACATGAATATTGTTTGAACATTTAACCTCCCAGTCGAGAAACATACATAAGAGTTGTCATTATAGATCAATATTTAATAAAATCAATATTTTGTGACAGATCTTGATTGCAAAATTTTTGATGTTGAAAACAATCAAATGACGCAACTTAAAAATGGTATATCCAGTTTCATGCCAATGAAAAGAATACATGAAGAAGAAACTGATATTGGAGATGGAGATAAGTCAGTCATCAAGTTGAAGACGGTCAAGATTGAAGAAAAATTATATTATACTTGATTTATAGATGAGTTTTGCTATATGGTTTTACTTACATTGAAGGTTAGACTACACCATGTAAGAGTAGGGAGTAGTATATGATTAAATGGTCTAGTCTATAAATACTTTATTGGTCTTAGCTTAAAAGCGTAATCATATATATGTTTTGGTTCAAATGTCTTGTCACTCATAAATTGAAAATTTAATACATTTCAATAAAATGGTCTTTTCTCAAACATTGCATTCCACTTTTGTTCTCTATAATACAACTTTTGTATATAATTTTTTTGTGATGTGTCATACCTTCATATATAAAAATAATATAGAGAATATGAATCACTAATAGAAAGTGTAGTATAGAAATACTCCCTCCGTCCTATAATGATATTCCCGGTTCGCAAAACGAAGAAAAAATCTCAAGTTTTTTCAATCTATTTTATTTAAATATTGGTATAGAAATAAAAAATAAAACATACATATTTAAAAACTACATCAAAAGTTCAACAAAACACGTGGTGACAAGAATATTTTATTTTATCATATAGGCCATGAAAAAACACAAATAAATATAAATTCTCGTGAAATTGGAATAGTGCTCTGGGAAGATCATTATAGGACGGAGGGAGTAATGTTTATGGGCACCAAGATTTCTCCTGCCCTCATATATAGTATGACAATTATGGTCTTACTTTAAGGAAAAGAAATTACATTCTATTTCTATGCAAATATTTACAACTATGCTAATAAAGGATGTAAGTTCTCTTTAACAATTAAATTTTTATCAATATCCAATATAATTTTTCTTTAAATAATGACCAACTTTGTCAAGTTTGACTACAAGAAGAGAAACTGGATGAATACTTCGGGACAAGGGTAATAAGTAAATTTAATTAAAATGAGGATTGAAAAAATGTCTTATAAAAAATTATCCCACCTACAAAAGTCATTGTCAGCTTTATGTTGTTAATTCACAAGTGAGGACAAAGACATGATTAAAAATATTGTTTCTAGATGAGTATAGAAACCCTTGCAACCATGAAAAAGTCTTTGAAAAGATTTGGAATTAAATAAAAGTTTGTCAAGTTCACTTTCAATTCCTTAAATATTATTTATTCTACTTTGGCATTTGTGTTTATAGTATTATAAATCGTGCTAAAACTATATTATATTTATTCCTTAAAAAATATTAATTGCATAAAAAATTAAAATCGACAAAAAAATTTCGATCTCGTGCATGGAACATGTTAAAATAGTAGTAATAAAAAAATTGTGAGTAGTTTTGAAAATTTATAGAAATTGTTGCTTTTTTAAAAATAATACCAACTATATAACCTTTTTTTAAATTAATAAAATAATTATGTAGATTAAGAAAATAAAATAGTGAAATGTATACCCGTGTTGTACTTACAAAATAGAAAATTTTATGCAAAATTAATAGTCATCTAAAGTAGGTGTGCGCACAACAATTTGGTAAATCAATCGAACCAAACCAAAACCAAAAGTTTGGTACGTAACAAAACTGAACCATAATATGGTTCACAATTCAATTTTATTTTTTAAATATTCAATTTCCGGTTTGGTTGAACAAAATGGAATCGTTACTTCGGTTTGTATGGAATCTTTAATAAATAAATTACTCAACTAAATCAACCTAAATAAGTTACTTGTAACTAGGGCTATTCGTTAGTTCAAGACCAAAACAAATTTGATCGGATCAAAGACCGAAAGTAAAAAAATCATGGACCGAATTCGGCCTGGATTGATTGGACCGAATAAAAATATATTTTTTGCTTCGACTTGAATTTTACATACGATCCAGTAACGGTTTTCTTCTACGCTCCGCTCTCAAATCAACAACGGAAAGAGGCCTCCGGGCTATAAATGGTGGCATCGCTGAACCGAGAAGAGGAGGGGGGACGAACCAGACTAAACCAGTAGCTATCCTTGTTCTTCAAAATCAGCAACTTCTTCTTCTTTTAGGTACTCAAATAGAATCCTTCAAAAAAAAAAGGTACTCAAATAAAATGGCTTCTGGAATTAATATGGAAGTCATCCTTGTTTTTTTCCCTGTCTTGTATATTTCTCCGTAAAAGTGTAGTTTTTAATTCAATGTCTCACTTCCTTGTTGGTGTTAATTTCAAAAAAATTCAATAAAATGGTTGGTGTTCTTTTATGGGGTTTTAAATGTTTATATATAATCCTTTATGAATGAGAATTGATTCATTCTTACTTTAATTATTGCACAAGTTGTTATTGAATTGGTTGAATTATTTTGATTTCATAAGTAGGTTGGTATGTAAAATTCGGTTTTTGTTGAAGCTACTTTAGCTCCATAAGATAATTAATTGAACTCTGAATTCATACGTGATTCTTTGTCGTGCTTTGTGTTAGTTGATTTTAAGAATTTTAGAATTCTTAGCCCCGTAAGTTAATTCATTTCCTAAGAATTCGTTATAGAGTGATTTGTAGAATTGTAGAACTGAATTGATTGAGTTTATTGATAGTGTCCACCCATATAAATATAATCAAGAGTTTCCAAATCATACCAGGAAACACATAAGTAAAACCAACTTCTACAAGGAAACCAATTAACCAAATATTTACAAAGATATTCTACTCCCTCCGTCCTAAAACTTTCTTCCCGTTGCGTAAAACGAAGAAAAATCCCAAGTTTTTTCAATTTATTTTATTTAAATATTGGTATAGAAATAAAAAATAAAATATACATATTTAAAAACTACATCAAAAGTTCAACAAAACAAGTGGTGACAAGAATATTTTATTTTATCATATAGACAATGAAAAAACACAAATAAATATAAATTCCCGTGAAGTTGGAATAGTGCTCTAGGAAGAAAGTTTTAGGACGGAGGGAGTAATATATATTCCTAATCCAATACCCCCCCCCCCTCAAGTTGGCGCATGATTGTCTTAAATGCCCAACTTGGATAGTAAAAATTGGTGAAGAGGTCCGGGGAGAGCCTTCGTAAAGATATCTGCAATCTGAAGACGAGTGGGGACGTAAGCGGTGAGGATTTGATGGCACATAAGCTAGACATTCACAGACAATGTGGCAATCAATGTCAATGTGTTTGGACCGCTCGTGAAACACCAGATTTGCATCAATGAAGAGTACAGATTTATTGTTGCAGTATAACTTGGGAGTAGTCACGCACAGAACAGATAGAGCGGCGAGTAACCCATGGATCCATCGTAGCTCTGCACAAGCATTAGCCATAGCACGATAGTCTACCTCTGCTGATGAACGAGAAACTATTGTCTGTTTCTTTGAGCGCCATGAAATCGGCGATCCACCTAGGAGAATAAAACAACCAGCAACAGATCTTCGTGTAATGGGACAACTGGCCCAATCAGAATCAGAATAGGCTATAAGAGATAAGTTACTATCACGACGAAGTAGAATGCCCTGACCCGGGTGGCCTTTAATATAACGGAGAACACAATAAGTAGCAATAAGGTGATCCAGACGAGGTGCCCGCATGAACTGAGATAACACATGTACAGAAAAACAAATATCCGGTCGTGTCAGGGTGAGATACAACAGGCGCCCAACGATGCGATGATACTTAGCTAGATCACGAATCTCAACACTGGTAGACAAAGCAAGATTGTGGCCTGGTTGAAGTGGAGTCGCGACGGCCGGGCTTGCATCCACTAAAACCAACTTCTACAAGGAAACCAATTAACCAAATATTTACAAAGATATTCTAATATATATTCCTAATCCAATGTGATTTTGTAATGTTATGTTTTTGTTTTCCATTTTCTTTAAATTTGAAAATTGTTTAAGTGTAATAAACAATTCTTGATTTATTGAAAATATGTTGTGTTCTTCTTTGTGAATAGAAAAAACGTCATTGGTTTGAGGAGTTCATGAAAATCTGTGAAATGTGCTCTTCATTAGGAGAAAAGTTTATTAAAATACACAAGGTATTGACGATTTGTAAATGGATTATGTATGAGAGTTGAATGCATAATAGATTCTCTCTTTTATAAACATTTTCTAAAGTGGAAGTACGTTTTCATGCTTGAATAGAGAGTTGGGGTTCTAAGGTATTTTTCCAAACGAGCCTTTAAATTGCTTGACTCTGGGCCGTGTGGAGAGTTGACAATCCTCCATATCGTGGTTAAGGAAATGAATTGACTCGGTCTTTGATTGATTTTTCCTATTCTTAAGTGCGTAAGTTAAGTAATATATTGTTTATGTGCTTATTCTACGTGTAATGTTGGTCTTGTGTTTGTTTTTTTCATTTTGTTTTGGGTTCTTGGTGTTTCATTTTGTTTTGGGTTCTAAGACCTCTGGATTACACAAAAGTTCCATGTTCCGGGATAAACGAAGTAGGGATAAGGTGGTTAGGTCACCGTCTTGGGTTACGTTGGGCAGTCTGGCCCCAAAAGGTCACATTTCAGCTTGACTCATTCGTTAAACATCTTGATCTGCTCGTTCTTCACTTCGATCTCCTCAGGGCTTTCAAAGTTTTCCAAACGCTTTGCCCTAAGCTCCTCCCGATCAAGCAAGGGTCCTCGGGTCTAGAACCTTTTCTGTATAGCCAGTGGATGGTTCGAGATGAGTGGAACGGACGGGCCCAGTGTCTGATTTAGTTTTTCCACCATATGGGTTAATAAGAGTTGGATGTTACACATCGACGTCTCTAGTAAATTGGGCTAGTCGATTCTTTGGGATCAGCGCAATGAATGAACCAGGCATTTGATCTAGTTTTTCCACCACATGAGTCAACAAGAGTTGGATGTTACACATTGCTGTCTCAAGCTGAGTCGGCTAAAGGGCCAACTCCCTCCCTTCTCCAAATGGGGGTGGTATGATAGAAGAATGTTGAGCCATTGTTGCGTCACTGTTGCTTCCATTCCCATCTTTCTTCCTGCCATGCTCAAGCACGAGCCTTTATATTCTCGCCTATCTCTCAATAAAAGCACCAATAATGGAGTTTAACTCCACCGACTATTATTTTCACATAATTTTAGAGTAATTATTGAAGTAATATTAAATAAGAGAAAAGAATACTGAACTAAAAATTGGAGTTAAAGAGCTCTCCCTTATTCAAAACGCTTTGGGGGGTTTTTATAACATCTAACCTTCCTAATCCTATTAGGCTTTACTCTAGAAACTTAGGTAAACCTCACCCCAAGTAACTAATCTCAATCTTACTCGGCCAAGCCCATTAAGCTCATCCCTTGGCTTGGACGGGTTTCGCCCATTGCTCGCTTCCATGCCTATTTCTCTAGTCTAGGCCTTGATGCTGAATTGACTAAACAAGATAATTGTAATGGGCTAGTTATATTAATAGTTACACCTCGACCCAGATATCAGGGTGATTTCCCTGCATGTGTAAGTTCCTTGTTTTGTATTCCATTATATGTAACTTTATTATACACTTTCCGAAATAAAGCAAAGCGGATTAGCGTACTCCGTTTGACCTGCAGAATTTACCAGAAACGGAGTAGGCTACTCCGTTCCACTCATTTAAATACCCAAACGGAGTAGCCAACTCCGTTCCAATTATTTAATTAGGAAACGGAGTAGCCAACTCCGTTCATTGTTTTTTTTTAATTTTTTTAAAATGAAGTATTTACTTTATTTCCTATATTTAAAAAAACATAAAAAATTATAAAAATCAACAAATTATTGAAATATAATGAAACAAAGAATCTACTAACAATAAAATTCATAGTTAAAATAAATATTTATCGACTTTAAATAATGCACCATACACCGAATTAAAAATAAGAAGTAAATTACAACAAATTTACTGATAGAGTACATAAAATTTATCCATAAAATTAAAGATACAAAACACATGCCATCACTAATTTATTTGTGAAAATCATAAAACATAAACTTGGATATTTGAACTATTGTTCATTGCGACGTCGTCGTGGTCGGTAGTCCATGTTATTCGGGTAGCGAGTTCTTGTTGGTCGACTGGTTTGTGTTCTCGCTCGTGCAGTTGGTCTCACAATCTCGTATCCTGGAGTAGGCCAGTCGGCCTCATCGGGAAGCGGCATTAGGATGCCGGAATAAGCGTTGTTGTAGGATTGGAGTGAAAAAACATTAGGAATCAAATGTTCCACAGTGACACTACAATGATGGCATACTGCGTGAACGTGAATGCATGGAATGTGATATATTACCCAATATCCGCAGGTACATGTCCGTGCATTTAAATTCACCGCAAATGTCTCGCGGTGACCATTGTTGAAGGACCCATCCACAACCACAGAGTATATCCCATGTTGTGCGTGGTGCTGCACAACACGACAATAAAGCCTATTTTTTTCATTGTTCTTGATCTTTTTCCACACATTCATTGGAAAATTATACCCAGATTGTTGCCACAAATATCCATTGGTTCGCCTATCAGCAAATAGCTTGACCAATTTGTCATACGTGAACCTCATAATGGCAAAGACAGGTAAACAACGACATCCCTTAAGGACATGATTGAAGCTTTCTGATGAATTTGTTGTCGCAATACCATGGCGTGAGCCACCTTCATCATGGGACAATGCCCACATGTGTTTTGGAATAGCCCTAAGCCAGTTGTATGCTTCTTGATTTTTGGCTGCTATCTCGAGAAGCGTCTGCTCGAACTCACTTCTGCTAGGGGTCTTACCAGCTTTATACATCATGTTCTTCAGTTTCTTACTTCGAAACTTGCTATGGAAATTGCTTCGCACATGACGGAGACAAAATCTTCGAGTGACTTGACCTCCCTGCAATTCTGGAACATTATTGAATGCGTGATCAATACCACCATGCCTATCAGATATTATGCATATATGGCGGTGTGGAGCCACGACATGTCGCATGATATTTGTCATGAACCACTTCCAGCTTTCACCATCTTCAACATCCACAATGGAGAAAGCCAAGGGAAAAATGTCACCATTTCCCGTCATTGCCACAGCAATTAATAGAGTTCCCTTATACTTTCCATATAAGTGAGTCCCGTCAACTGAAACAACTGGAAGACAGTATTGGAAGCCATCAATGGATGCCTTGAAAGACCAAAAAACATACCCGAACTGAAATGTAGTCGGTGCGTTTGTAGGTAGGGTTTGCAAATCCACAACTGTCCCATGGTTTAATCCCATAATTGCACCGAGCAAAGGAGCCAGCTTGTTGTATGAGTCCTCCCAACTACCGTACAATCGCTGAATGGCCAATGACTTTGCACACCATGCCTTCTTATAGGAGACAGATACTTGGAACAACTCATAAACATCCCTCATTATGAGTTTGACTTTATAATCAGCATCTTCTTCAATTTTAGGACCAATCAGGCCACTAATGAGCTCACTAGTTAACAATTTGTCGTCTTTAGCTCGCGTGTAATTCGGCCTACACTGGTGGTACCCCTGATATTGCTTTATGGTCCATATACTACACCCAGCATTCTCTGCTGCTTGTATGAACCAAGTGCATTGCGGGGCATATACACAACGTGCTTTCCAATATCGGCTCCGTTTCGCTTCTGTGTGAAAGTGTCTATGCTCCGCAATGTTCCGTAATGACACAGCTTGTTGTAGACTTTGGAAAGAAGGATACCTGTTGTCGACCTCAATATTTGGGATGTGGAACATTGGCCTCAACGACATATTTGGTACGTGACTTTGCCGGTCATGTAACTGTGGCATTGCACGAATGTCCTGGCCATCTTCTCCTTCATCTGCAGATATGTCCTCTTCCTCTTCGGAAGATTCTTCATCTTCCGTTGAGGGTGCAATATACTCAGCATCATCTGGATCGCTATCAACATGTTGAGCGAAATGGGATGAAGAGGGCTGCTCCATTTGATGCTGGAAGAACGGATTACCATCCGTTTCCTCCTCAACATTTTTAGACACCCCGATGAATACTTCAACTACATCGTATTCATGTGATGCTTTCCGTATAAAATGCCTCCATGTTGGTTCATCGTTGATTGGGAGAGGTCGTGAACCAACGTAAACCCCAGATTGATGTCTGGGGAATTTACCATAGACGGAATGAAGTATAGTATTCTCATGTGACATTGTTGATTTTGGTGTGTAGAGTAATGGTGATGGTGTATTCGAAATGAAGAAGGTAGTGATATTTATAATATGTAGAGTGATGTTAGTTGAGAGTGAGGTTAGTTGGGGGTGTGTGTATTTGGGTAGGTGTGAGGTGGGTGAATATTATTATAGTGGGAGTGAGTATTATTTATTTAGGTGGGTGTGATTATTATTGTCGGGTAGGTGGGAGTGGGTATTATTTTGTTAGGTGGGTGTGATTATTATTGTCAGATTTCAACATAACACCGTGAAAAAATAAGTTATCAAACTAAATATTTCAACATAAACAAATATCTCAACAAATGCTTTTGAATCTCAAAACATTAAGTACCCAATCTCAAAACATTAAGTACCCAGCACAATATATTAAATGTAACAAAAAATACTAAAGATAGTGGCTACCAGTACCACAATGTGGACGACGTCGATTACGTCGTGGACGAAGACCCTCCTCTCCTTCACCCTCCACTTCTACGTCATCAACTGTCTGCTGGATTACCGGCGGTGTAATAGTGGAGACAAAATGTCCAAACTCATTTGTGAGGTGACTTTCCTGAGTAAAGTAATCACCCCTAAACACATCTCCATCAAACGTCACTGGTGATACATCGTGCATGCGCCTCTGAGGATGCTCTATGTGGAATTCAGGAGGATGTGAACTCGACGGGTCAACCATGCAAGAAGGTGTATGTGTGTCGCTCTGAATATGTTCTTCGTCACCAACATCTTCTTCATCATCATCCTGGGTCATAGGGGGAGATTCAATGGGGATGTGTTCGTCTTCATCATCGACGTGCAACCTCCGACTACCCCGCCCTCCACGTCTGACTCCGACAGCAGGTGCATCACGCCTTCTATCTACCCGTCTCCTGATATGTCCTGGGTTGTAAGGATGCTGATCCTGTGGGTGATCAAGGATAGATGCATGCCCAAGAGCACGAACACACTCTGTTAACAACTCATGAACTCTCAATACCTCGTGTGAAGGTACAAACCCATACAGTATAACTACATACAACATTTTTAATTAGTTTAAAAAAAAATTAAATTTAGAAATATGTACATTAAGAATACTTACTGCAGTCTGTAGCTCCGGAGAAATGGGGATGTACCCTGGTCGGTGCTGATGGGCAGGGTTCCCTATATGTCGTCGACCCCGAAGGTAGTACCACTGACGATACTCCGGTGTGGCATCCACCATCCCAAACTGCATCTGGACTGTAGCATCATAACGTCCCTCCCACATCTCTAAATAATGTCTCTCACCATCGCCAATTTGCATAACACTTGACTTAATTTGGTGTAGTTGACGGTCATAAACAACAACTTCAGGGATGTGTTGCAGGGCACCAAACTGCCTGCAAAAGCGATCGGGATAGTACATCTCCACAACGTAGGTATAGATCAAGGGGATTCTAGAAGTCCATATTCCGATTCCAGCAGAACAATAGGGTGGTAGGGTATTGACATTCGGATACGGCAACCATACAAACTGCATGCATAAACAACTAGTAATATACACATTCAAACTAAACTATATATGTATAACATTATGATATTATGAATACTCACCTCTCCCTCGAGCAATCTGTCAAGCTGGTCCCGGTATGCTCGTATGGAGTGCGTGGTACAATCTGACCATCGATGGTAACACACCCATCTGCAAGCGAATGATTATGCACAACCATGAATGAAATATAGAATATGATTTTATAATATACATAAATAAACTACAAATACCTGACTCCATATGGGACATCTACTAGCTGATCAAATGGTATAACCCCTCTAGGTCTAGTCATAGGCAGACGCTCCCAAGCCCAAATCTGTAACAAGACTAGACAACCTCCAATCTGTGCTGCACTCGTCGCACTAGCACGACACATACTGCGATACAAGTAACTGAGTACTGCCGAACCAATCGCACGACCTCGCACAGTGTTTGCGTCACCCATNCTCTAAAAGATACAAACTAACCTTATTTCCCGTCGTGTTGGGAAATAGGCTACCACCCAACAACTTAAACATAATGGCTCTGGCATGCTGCAAGTAATCTACATCTAAACTATGATCTGTTAGTTGCTTAGGAACAATGGCAGACATCTTAATCATAGTAGAAGTAATATCAGAAGTTTGAGGCCGAAATCCCATCATGTCCTCACAAATCTGAATCCACTGGTCTCTGGATCGGCCAGTCATCCCCGCCAATGGATTGCCATCTACGGGCAATCCCAGTAAAACCTCTACATCCTGTAAAGTAATTCCAACCTCTCTGAAGGGAAGATGGAATGAATGAGTCTCCGGCCTCCATCTCTCCACTAGAGCTGTGATCAAAGCCCAGTCCAACTGCAAGCCACCAACTTTCTCAACCCCTAAATCCGTATTCTCGAAAAAACTCACTCACACGAACCGGTCTATTAACAATAAGAGTCCTCGTATACAAACTAGTACAAGTCCTGTGACACTTTAATAATTTTTTAGCATATTCTTCTTCGGCCCAAACCGCATCACACCTATGGTCTCCCGCTTCAATTACTAAAACATCGCGTAAAATAGGTCCTGGATGTACATCCATTTGCTTCAAAGATTACAACATAAGAATATATTCAATTAATAAAAATATAACAAGACAATTATATTTAAAAAAAATCATGAAGTAACCACCTATACATACATACAAATTTGTATCAAATTTGTAAGATTAAAACTATATATTTGTCAATATTTTCACATCATCAAAACAAATATAACAAAAAAAGCATCTATACATACAATCTATTTACTAAATCATATACAACAACAATCAAACAAATTTAAAAAAAAAATTAAAGACAAAACGGAGTACCTGACTCCGGTCGCAAGGTGTCCGTCGATCTCCCCCTCGTCGCACTTCTCTCTCCCTCGGCGTTTCCTTCTCTCTCGGCCAGGCTTTTCCTTCTCTCTCGGCGTTCTCTCTCGGCGTTCTCTCTGTGTGTGGCCAAGAGTAAAAAATGAGTGGATGGGGAGGGGAGTGGATAGGTGATTTGAAGGGACGCGGAGTTACCTACTCCGTCTGGGTATTATTAAATCCGAACGGAGTAGCGTACTCCGTCTCAGAAATAAAATCATGAGAAACGGAGTAGCCTACTCCGTTTTGTTTATTATTTCGAAATCAAACGGAGTAGGGAACTCCGTGATGCACTGCGAGGAAATAAAACACTGACTTACACTGCCAGGAAGTGTTTTTAATTTATTTACATATATCGGGAGTTTACTCCAGATATCATATAGTTGTCTTAAATGTTTTTGAAAGTTCATATTTAATTTTTTATATAATTCATAATATTTTTGAATATACCTAAAAGGTAATTAAAAATTCAATATAAAATACTCTAAGAATATTATATATTTTTTATATTTTATTACGAAGTTTTTGTTTAGTGAAAATGCAAATAATTGCATGAATTTAAAAATTTAAAAAATGTAGTTCTCAACCCAAACACAAAATTGATGTAACCCAAATCCGGAGTTAGCAAACTCAAACCCAACTAGACTGACCGATTTACCCGCTCTATAAAGTATAAATCATATCATACGTCTTATCATTTTGAAAGAGTAAGTAAAATCTTTTTAAATAGAAACAAAAAAGGAAACGTAGAATTGTGTTTTACGAGTAGAAGGGAAGGAAAAGTATTAGTCAAACAGAGAAAAACACTACAGCACGTCCGCTAGTCTAAGTTGGATTGTCGAGTTTGGCCGGCGCCGGTGGAAAGGAAAAGCCGACACCGGAGAAAATCTAGCTCTGACCGGAAACCGTATAATTAAAGGCAAAGCAAGCATGGATCGGAGTAATTAATTAATTAATTAATAGACCTCATAATAATTACTTGAACACGCGCGCACCCATCACCTCTACAAAATTTCTGATCGAGAACCTAATAAACACAGAAAAAAAATAATGGCCCTTCTTAATTAATTGGCTTGAATCGCGATTAATACGGAGTAATTATATATCTAAGCTAGCTAGGACAGGTTGTTAATGGATACTGTACGGATACAAGGAGAGTTACTCCACACATTAGAGTGCAACCTCAGTATCTCTCTTGCTTTCTTCTTCAAATGCACTTCACAATCAGCTTGAAGAACCATGCAAAGCTTTGCCACTGCTCCCACCCTCAGCATCTCCAAAGTCACCTCCTTCGTCGCCGAATATTTCGAGATCAACGCGAGAATATGTACCGCACGGTCGTCTGACGCCGCCGAAACCCTAAGAGTTCGTTTCGAGACCAGGGCTATGGCCCCCGCGTGTCTCAAGAACTGCTGTCTCCCATCTGCTATGGAGCAGAGGTGAGACAGCAGTGAGAACACGAGCTCGCTGACCCGCTTCCCGAGGTTGCAGAGCTCGAGTTCGATCAGCTCGAAAACCGCTCCCGCTTTGATTATTTTTAGCTTGTTTCTTCCCCATGGACATGCTTGTATGAGTACGTGTAGCGCCGCTTTGGTTGTTTGTTGTGTGATGGTATTTGTTCTTAGGAGACTCACTATTTTCACGAAGAACTCGGAGTTTAGTCCCTCGAGGAGGTTTGAACTCATGACCTCTGTGATTTTTTTCAACGCGCTCACTGCTTGGATTTTGACAAGATCGCTCCCGTTTTCGGATTTCATGTTCATTATCCATAGTATAAGTTGAATAAGATCACCATGGTTTTGGTTCACTATAAACTTGTTTTCAATGGATGGACTACAAACGACATGGAAGATCTTGAAAGCCTCTTGTAGACCTTGGATTTCTCTTTCCTTGAAACTTTTCACTATCAAGTGTACCATGCACTTGACCACCCCCACTTCGCCCATGCACTTCCTATTATTCTCGTCCTCGACCGCGAGCTCTTCCATCTTCTTCAAAGACTCCATAAAGGTCGCAGGGTTACTCAAGTCGCGGATCAACTTGAGGACCTGTGACCTTTGAATGGGAGACTTGGGAGTGGGAATCCGATCAATCCCATGTTCGGCGTTTGATAAGCACCAAGCCTGGATCAACCGGCGAAGCATGTGGTTGGGGGTCAACTCCGCATCTCTGGGCAATACTTGCTTTGTCACGGGACAACACGCATGCTCCGCCCCAGACAACCACTTCTGAATGCTTTCCCGGTCGTATGTGATGCCCGTCACCGCCGTGACCGGGTCCTTCATGATTTGAAGAGATATAGGACACAAGAAATATTGAGGTATCTCCACTTGGTTCATATTCATCAATTCTTCTTCAACGAAATGAACTAGGAGGAGATAAGTATATATCCTAGCTAGCTAGTAGCAATTCAATTCAATAAAAATATAAATAAACAAATATATTTATATGTGTGTGCTATGAATAGGGAGAGTATATTTTTCAAATATTAAAAGTGAGGACGGTAAGAAAATGCGGCTTTATATGCACCACAAGTCACAACTTTGAACAGAAATTCTAAGATTTCAAAGTGGGTATCTTAGCTTCTTCTTTTTAGCTTTATTAAAAGGATTATACTATGTGTACCGCAAGGTTTGTACCCCAATTTGTACCTCGCAGTTTTGCACTAATACTTTGTGTTGGTGTAAAACTAATTTTTATTAAACGCACCAACATTTGTGTCCGTGTGAATTTTTATTAACGCATCAACACTTGTGTCGGTGTAAATCATCGAAATGTTTGTGCAAACTTGCGGTGTACAAATGAAATATATTTTTTGGTGTAAGTGTAGCATGGTCCTTATTAAAAATGTGTTTATTGACTTGTCAACGTATTAGCTTGTGGTCAACCCTCTCGAGAGAAACAGATTTAATGCATTTTGGACCAGTCAGAGATGGGTGGGGCCAGCTGCGTGTAGTTAAAGGACTCTTTGTCTGGCAAACAATTACGTGAGTTTGAAAAAAGCTCTCATTATTAGTTGGAATTGTTGAATTTCTAAAATCTTAATGTACGTGCATGAATTTAACCATGTCGCGGTGCCGTGGAGGTCAGGAATCATGACTACATTTTAAAATGTCAATCCCTCTTTCTCAAATTTTATTAGAGCCTTTCATATTAACTTATTTTTAATTTGTACATACATTTCATTCATCATTTTATAAAATAAAATTTTTATATTTATTAATTCGTGTTTAATAACCTCTTCATTTGAAAATAGTTCGTTCTACTTTTATTTTTTGGCAAAATTGACAAGAATACTTCCAGAAATTACAGATTTTACACAAATACTCCCAAATTTGTTTATTTACACCATTACTCCCACATTTCTCTTTTATTCACATCATTACTCCCAAATTTAGTAGTGATCATTAGTGTTACTTGGATGTGTCTTTTTTGCGTTAAGTGAAAAGTTAAAATGCAGACATGTATTTTTTCACTCTAATATACCATATTCACCTAACTTATTCTCTCCCTCATCTTTCTCACGTCTTAGTAAGCCTAATCATTGCCCTTATTTTCCATACCCTTTTTTTAAAAAAATCAGATTTCAAACTTCCTAATTCTTTTTAATGTTTAATGTCAAGTATGTTCATATTAATTTAATTTGATTCAATAAAAAAAATATGAAGAACCCCATATAAAAAAACGCACCCGAGGAACACTGATGATGAAGCAATCGCGGAGTAACGACGTAAACAATAGACAAATGTGGGAGTAACTGTGTAAATAAACAAATTTTGGAGTATTTATGTAAAATATGTAATTTCTGGGAGTGTTCTTGTAAATTTTGCCTTATTTTTTTAACAGTTTACAAAATAATTTATCTCACCTAAAATATTTCTAAAATAATTTTTACGCGCAATAGAGGAGAAATATTGCGTATTTTAGACATTTTTGGTAGGGGTAGAACTATTTTGTGAGATATGCAAGAATGAAAGTGGAACTATTCTTTCAAATGTAGAGAGTAAAACTTTTGATGTAATTTTGAATTGTGCAATTTGTACGAAGTACTCCGTATTTTTATATTTTCATACCACAACAACAACATCAACTAAGTAGAATCTCACAAAAGTAGGTTCTTGGTAGGGTGTGCATACGCATACCTTAGCCCTAATCAAATGTAGACCGGCTATTTCCAAAGAAACCCCCCCAGCTCAAGCACCATAGGTAACCATGTACGCCGTCTGACCCCTATATTTTAAATATAGAGCGGTTGTTTCCGGATGACCCATAATGAGCATCGAAAGTTGCATTTAGTAATTGCTACTACTTCACTATAAAAGAAGCATAGAGATTTTAAAAAGTCATATTGCATTGTTTGTATATAAATTTGTAAATAAAATCATTTTAGAAGAGATGAAATTTATACGTTCTTCCAAATGGAAAGAATAAATTAGGACGAAAGGAAGTATTAATAAATCCCACCTCCGTCTTAATTTAAATTATTTGTTGTTTACGAGGTTTGGTTGAAATTATTTTGAAATCATTTCATTATTTGAAAATTGGTGTAGAATTAAAGAAAAAATTATATATTTAAAAATTACAACAAAAATTTTACAAAACTAGAAATTATATGACTATATTATTTGATCAAATAAGTAGCTAAAATGAATAAAAAAAAGTGATTAAAAGTTAACCCGGTGAGTAATAAATAAACAACGTAAAATGGGACAGAGGAAGTGATACTCAATAGTTTTAAAACATTTTTTTAAACTGGGCAGAAGTACAAATAAATATTACCTCCGTCTTAGCATATATGTCCAGTTTTGAGTTTTAGTGTCAAAAAGGATAAAAATTGATCATTAATTAAATAAAGTTTATGTAACAAGTTAAAACTGATAAATTTTAACCATTAATTAAATTGAGTTTTTAGTAACAAATTTATTAAATATTGATATAAGAATAATTTTAGTAACAAATTTATTAAATATTGATATAAGAATAATTTTATTAAATTTATCTTGTAAAATGTTTTCAACTATTTTTCGGGTTCATATAGCATGTAATTTTCATTTAACTATATGTCAAATGTCGATTTAATTTTGACTGAAAAAAAGTTAAAACTGAATAAATATTCTAAGAGGGAGAGATATGAAATACTCCCTCCGTCCCCCTGTATTTGTCCACTTTCATTTTTGTACACCATCCAATGCACTTTTTAAATCCATTTTATCTTGTAATTTATATATTAAAAAATTATAAAAATTATATATTAATAATCTATATGTTAAGACAAATCAAACAAGATCACACATGACTATATTTAAGCTTACACATTGAAAGAATTTGATGAGTCAAAGTGCTTAGATGAACAGTTCCAAAAGTCAAATGTGGACAAATACAGGGGGACGGAGGGAGTACAAGTTTAGATTTTTGGGTTCTATATATACAAAAAGATGGAAAATGGGTGGAGATGTTGAACGTTGTTACTCGTACTTGATATGAGTGTCTTTTGAGTGAGACAAGCAAAATGACAAAAAAAACCTTCTAGGATGGGATATTTGGGTTCTATATATACAAAAAAGATGGACTACCATCTTCCCAGTTGAGATATTACAACACAACAACAATAACCACCCAACCAAGGCTAATCAGCTAGCCACAATAAATGACAACCTTTATAATAATAATAATAATAATAATAATAATAATAATAATAATAATAATCATCATCATCATCATCATCATCATCATCATCATCATCATCATCATCATCATCATCATCATCATCATCATCATAATAAGAATAAGAATAATAATAATAATAATACTGTAATAAATACAGCTTTCTATTATGTCAAATGCACTCTATTTTTCATTATTAAGAATAATGATTCTGCGCATTCTTTTGCAACTTATTTTCCCACACATTCACTTAAAGTTTTAAAAACGAACATACAAAAAAAATCTTCAAATCACTTGGAACTCAGCCGGTATAACAGAACGGGGTACGAAAGGATCCCGGTTAAAGCTCTCTGGTTCATATAATTGGGAACCAACATTCCATGCCCATTTTCAGCAAGTAAAAAAAAGAAGAAAAAAATCGACCCTTTAAGCAATTCATTCATGTCAAACACAGAACTAAATGACTACTTACATCCTAGCTGTTGATGTCATCACCCCAAGCATCTTCCTTCATAATTTGTCTAGAACGTATTCTACTCCTCCTGTCTTCTTCAATCTTCTTCAATTCTTTGGTCCCGAAACCCGATGCGGGTAGTCTTATACCCATGCTTTGAGCAATCAGTCTCTGCGCAGTTTGAGCTGATGTCTGTGGCCTTTGACGAGGCGGCTCCAAATCTACACATTCAACTCTAGCTCTAATATATGCTCAAAATATACATTATTTTTTCCCCGAGGAACACAAAAAATAACATATTTAGCAAGTCTTTCCCTGCCCCTAGTGGACTTCAACTGATAAATGCAGGGAAAATATAGTTATATATGAGTAGGAAAAGATTCATCCTCATTAAGAGATTGTCAAGTCAACCAATGAGGATCCAACAAAAAAAGATATAGGCATTATTGTGATGATGATGCAAAGAAAGACAACATTTTCACCTTGTATAGAAATTACTGAGTAAATACATTTGAGACAGACGATTCAGCTACTTTTTAAAGAGAGACAAAATGTTTCTAACGAAACATTGCTCGTGTGCATGGATTTGCATTAATTTGTTTAAATTTCCTAGGAAATTAATTGACAGAATCGAGAATGTTGGATACTTGAAATGTTACCTCTAGGTCGAACTGAGTTTAAAATTTCATCATCCTCGTTAAGTATATGCATTGAATATGGCCAATTAATATATTTACTTGCTTCATGAGCTGCATCACAAATAAACAAAAACCATAGTAAAACCTATTGATAGGATAGGAACAGTGATAAGAGAAACAAACTTTCAAGTGTTTCAACCATAAAAAGCAAGGCACTTGAAAGTACCTGAGAGATAATGATGTTAAGTATTAAGAAAGCATGGTTTTAAATGGTGTGCCGTGTGCGACGCATATGCCTGTGAGGCACTAAGACGTGAAAAACACATATAATGCTTACACCTGCTTAGTCTACTTAAATGAGGACTACGCGTTTAGGTATCCGCTGCTCAATGGCATAAAAAGCAAGGCCTGATTAAGGCGCTAAGGCTTATCAATGCTTAAAGTTAGATTTTGAAGATAAAATTAAAATCTTGCCCTCTTTAGAGTATGTTAGTTTTAAAACGTGTTGGGCTAATTGTTTTAAGCCACAGAACCTCAGTCCCTTCTAGACATGAGCCTAGCCTGGCTCTTTTCCTTCAATTTTTTTTCTTCTTACTGCATGTTCATTTTTCTATCTTCACCAATGACTGAGCAGTCCTTAAGCGACCACCATTTTTATCAATCT